TTAATGACATAACATTATCGGAGCTATCAAAAAGTAATTACTCATTGCGTAAAAATAATAAATAGAGATCCCATTACACCCGCTTTAAAAATAACAAACCGACATTGGATTATTTATAGGAGTAGAACCGTACAAGTGGTAGTAACTATTATCATTTTATTCAATGTTTGCAATGATGTCACCGCGACAAAGTGCATAAAATTCTCATCATTGTTCTAGTGTCAGGTTATTTTTAACTATTACCTAAAAACTGTTACATTTTGCAGACACCTACAACATGGTAAAAACCTTGACACGCAGATTTTTGCCGGAGTAATTATGTAAAGTGCTTAACTGAAGCTACAAGGAAGGTCATGCATGCGAAAAGAACCATTGAGAACTTTTGTCTGTCTTTAATAAATAGCCCATGTGATCAAGCAAAATTTATTTTCCAATACCTACATTACATTCACATTTCTCGTTACTAAAGTCGCAAAGATGGATAATTTTTTATCCAGTTTAAAGTAAATCAAAAATCTCCAATCTAATACGAAATTTAAAATTCTTTCTTTCTCTATTCGGACGGTCATACTCTTCTGCAGGGTGTTCCGTCTAAACCCCACATTAAAAGTATTGGGAGTTTGAATAATTATATTTGTTTGAAAATTGGTACATAACCATAATGCATTAAGTCCTCCTAAATGAAAATATTTTCAAGATGGCGACACTTCCGGTTATACCGGAAGTTGGTCTCAACTTTCTTATTTTAAATGGAAAGCTATATTTTTTACTGCGTTTTTGGATTAATCGGGTTATTTTAAGCGAGTTTTCATCAGCTTTCCCTATTCCTAAATTTTGCCGTTTTTGAAATATTTGGACTTTTTTAAAAAATTTTGAATCTGCACCTTCCACTTTAAAAATCGGTAACTCTGCTATTTTTTTAAATTTTGAATTCGTTTTTTTTTGGCGTTTGAAAGATCTTTCGTCCGGTGTTTTCAAATTTTGAAAAAAAAAATAACAAACCATAAAATTTTAAGGTTACTTTTGTAATAATTCTAATACCCATAACTCAATTTTTCCAAATGAAATACCCCAATTTTTATTTTACTTAATTATTTTACTTAGTAGCCACTTCCGTTTTTGTATAGTTTGCCATGGAAATCAAAAATGTCAAAATTGTGTCTCAATAATCGTCGACAGTGACTTATTATTTAACAAATAGTACCAAAATATGAAGAGCCAAAGCTACTCAAACTTAGATTAATTTATTTTTTTTTGTATTTATGGAGAGTATAACAAAATTATGATGTCGTTCATTAAACAAAAATAAATTTTTCTTACTTGTTAGCTTTAAATAATGATCGCATGGTAGAACCTATCAACAACAATTAAGTTTGCATAACTTTGATTCTCCATATTTTGGCACTATTTGTCAAATAGTAATTAACTGTTGACGTTTGTTTAGAGAAAATTTTGACATTTTTGATTTCCATAGCAAACTATGTGAAAACAGGTGTGGCTAGTAATAAATTTTCTGTAGTCTTTACAAAAAGTCCATATCTTGAAAATTATTAAATTTAGGTATAGGGAATGTTAATACAGATCAATGCTCAATTAAATTCTATTCTATTTAATAAAATAAAAATTGAGGTATTTCATTTGAAAAAATTGAGTTATGAGTTTTTGAATTATTACAAAAGTAACCTTAAAATTTTGGGATGTTATTTTTTTTTCAAAATTTGAAAACACCAGAAAAAGGATATAAAGCTTTCTCTTTCAAACGCCAAAAAAAACGAATTTAAAATCTTAAAAAATGGCAGAGTTACCGATTTTTTAAGTGGAAGGTGCAAAAATTTTTGAAAAACCCCGAATTTTCAAAAACGGCTAAATTTAAGTACATATAGGGAAAGCTGATGAAAACTCCCTTAAAATAACCCGATTAATCCAAAAACGCAGTAAAAAATATACATTTCCATTTAAAATAAGAAAGTTTAAACCGACTTCCGGTATAAGCGGAAGTGCCGCCATCTTAAAAATATTTTCATTTAGGAGGACTTAATGGTTTATGGATATGTACCAATTTTCAAATAAATACGATTATTCCAACTCCCAAAACTTCTAAAATGGGGTTTAGATGGAACACCCTGTATAACATAAAAAAATATTTTTCATCATTTTTAATATACCTAAATAGCTATTTTTGAACTTTTTAGACCAGCAAAGAAAATTTTTGCGCTCAATAAACGAAAAAAACCTTGAATTTTTCGTTAAATCGATGGCAAGATTAATGACGGAAATAAAAGCATGTCGTCCCCTCTCTCTTTCTTTTATGACAAATGCTCAATTACGAGTAGATTCGAGTTCAAGCTTTTATTAATTTAATGCAACACCTATTTACAAAGACTATTCTTAATTGAATTTTTTGTAGAAATTAAATTATACACGAAACAGCTTCGCTGGATACTGTCATAAATTTCCTTTGTGAATAACTTTTAATACTTATATTTAAGCTCATAAAAGATTATGAAATTTATCTCGTAACAACAATAATAGTTGATGAAGTTTATATGTTTATTGTACTGTCTCCTCTAACATTTTATGACACATCTTTCAAGGTTAATTAAAATTCCTACCTATTTGTTTACGTAAATGTTGCAGTTTATCCATAAAAATTGCATAATAAAATATGATAATTATGCACGGTAGTTATAAGCAAAAATAATAACCTAAATGTTACAAACTCTATAAATAATTATAAAAAATTATTTGTTGAAAAGGACAACGTCATTGACAATCTTGTTGCGGTCGCTTTCGCAAAATGAAATGATGTTGGATGAGTTATGGTTACCTTCATACATATGGTCATGCAAATATTTTATCAGTAATCTGTGAAGAACATCTGTAAAACGAAATTTCTTTTCTTTTAACACATTTGAATACAGCCATCCCCAAAAACCGCACAAACCGCACTGCGTCTAAGAAATGGAAAACAGGCGGAAAAACCGAATTATCATCAAAGACCAAACACTGTATTGTGTGAACGGAATACAATTGAAAGAAAAATATTTGCATATATCGACTAGTTTTGCATTAAGTAGATATCGAATCAAGTTCAATTTCAAGACCAAAATCCTTTGCAAACAACTAAGACTTATTGTCATAGTTTAACGATTTTCTGTACCAAAAATGGGTGAACACTCGTTTATTATTCCTACAAATACAAAAAGTTACAAGATATAAAGCCATTTATAGTTTAAAACTGCAGCAAACTGTTTGTCGAGGATATGTAGTATGAACCATAGCCAAATTAGTGCCCTAATAAAAAATTGTTACCGTTACGCCAGATATGTGTGTGAACACAAATTAAAAAGGCTTAATTGCCTAACTAAAAAAAATCCAGTAAATAATTACTAATAATTTATTTCAATAATTTATAACACTTGGGTATATTTTAAAAATGTATACAGGGCGATTCGTATACGATTGCTTTACTCATTTTAAGTGAACCACCTCGTACAAAACACACAAGTACTTACTTAAACTAACCTATACTGATATAACAGATTCAAAAAATTGATTACAAGTTGCGATTACGTTCAAATGATTAATACTCGTAACACAAAAAATGCAAACCGGTGGAATTTTGTTCATTTCAAGGTTGAATTATAGTGAAAGTTTAAAAAGAATATTCGACACATGGATAAATAAAATATTAAATTTATTAATCTGGCGAGTAAAATTGACATATTTATTAATTTACGACATAATATAACTTCAGGTCTTCAGGATTTTAATTAATTAGTAATTGTCATACCAAATAGGTAAATTATAAGTAAATTGAATTAAAAAAATAATAAAACAGTGATATATAAGCCAATTTACACTCATTACATAATTATAAAACATCGATTATTGTGACTTTCAAACTATACGAAAGCAAAATTTTAAATCATTACAATTAATTTTGTTCAATTAGTTATAACATTTTAATTGGGTTTAGAGATGTATGAACCATTTTAGTTCGTTCGCATCGAACAATATGTAATCATTCCATTATACCCTATGATCAAAAATATGTTTAGCGTAACAATAAAAAAAAATGTTTTAATTTATAAATTAAACAAAATAATTGACACTAATATTTACCAATCAATAAATCTCTGAAACGACGATTTACAAAATGGACAAAAAATTAATAAAATGTTGTTATGAATAACACATAAATTCAAAAATCGAGATATGTTGTTAAACAATATAATCTACAGTCTGTCTCAGCTTAGAGTGATACAACTCATTATTATAAGAAGAAAAAACAACTTTTATTAATTAATTAACAACCTGCGAAATAATATTTTAGTTTAATTTATTATCACAAGAAACAAATTTGAACAATTACATTTTTTTTAAATGCCAATCGTTCATTGCTATACACGGAAATAAACAAAGTGAAAATTCTTATCTAACCGATAAGAAAACTGTCACAATTATCTATTTTGTATTCAAAATAAGGGTACAACAAAATAGTCAAAGCTGCCAACTTAATTTCAAAGTCAAATACCACTTCGATGAGACATTTAGTTGCCCATAGCCTTCTAAAATAGTAAAAAATGAACGATCATGTGACCATTGTTAATACATACAGGTCACGTGTAATAAAAAGAGTAAAACCAAGAAAACCGACCTTGGCCGTGTCAAAAATAGAAGAGCATGTTTATTTATATCAATCATTAATTAATTAGACGTAAATACAAACAACCATTTAAAATATTTAATAATAAATCGCGTCATAAAATCAAAATCGCGCGTTTGTAGATCAAGAGCCATAAACCACCGGCGAACTGGTTATGCCATTATTTAAAACACTTTTTTCACTCCAATATGACACACAAATTACCAATTCAAAAAACAAGTCCATAAGCAAAGTTTACGTAATCGTCCATTTATGGCAGCAATTAACGCGTTAGCGGCAGAAGTGCAAGCCATTGGCCACTTCTTCTTCGAAAACATCTGTCTTTGATTACCTGTTTTCCAGCCCTCGGAAGCGTTTCCATGTTGGTACCATTGACAACCGGGGCCTTTTCCTGGGTAACACCCCCATTCGGAGTGCTCCCGTTACCCAAAGCCATTATTATGACTCAGACCACTTTAACTTTGTCACTATGAAATTTCGCTCACAAAAAAAAAACACTCAAACCATCTCAACTCGCGCCTTATCACAAATTAAATCACTTTATCGATAAGAAAAACTTTGCTTTGACTACACCCGACACAGAACGAAACAAACGCGTCCGAAAGCAACTTTGATGTGACGATTTTTTACCACCGGGCGCCGCATTAGATTAGAAAACGCGTGACGACTATTGGCTGTCTTTGTTGCTCGTTTGGTGTGGAAAGAAAGAGAGAGTGTGTCGATGATGCGTTGGTGCGGATTGAAAAGAGCGCAAACGCGTGTTTTCAGCGGTTCTCAAACTAGGGATTTAATCAAAATTGTTATTCTAAATTAAATGTTGGATTTTTGGGCTTAATATCCTTATTTTCAATAAATAAAAAAGCTTCAAGTGAGATCAAAAAGTCTGTCTATCAAGCAAGCGTAGAAATTTAATTTTATGTAAATTATAACAGGAAACCGTGGTGAACGATTTTTATGAATAAACAGCAACAAAATCTCATTTTAGGATATTTTGAGACGTTTCATAGAATAATTCAATTTAATTAGCTCAATGTTTTAATTTTTATAAAATATTTTTTTGACATCTAGATGACGTCCTCAACTAGGACGCCTACTTGATAGAAAAACTTTTTGATCACACTGTATAAAAAAATCGTTTCACACACTTAAAATAAAAATAACTATACTCCTTTTCATATTAATTGCATCGAAGTAATCGTTGAAAATTAACAATGTAATTGGGGTAGAGTAGCAAACATAAAGATTTTTGTTGTTATTGAGGAGATTAAATTTGTTATGAATGACATTAATGACACTTTTTGTGTGAATCGGCCTTTAAATTAAAGATACATTTAGACTTCCACAACCTACTTGATGTATGAAAAAGTTGACTATACCTACATATTGTAGAAAAAGTCATAATAAGAGAAAAATTATAATTTTATGGCTTTGAAACTCATTGTATTTCTGATTTTTTTAAATTTTGTTACAATAAAACTAGATGTACAGTTGCGGAATTAAAATTTCGGGCAGTATTGTCATTTTCATAATGTAAACTCAAAAACAACCGTTTTACATTAATAACCTCATGTTTATGTCATTTCATTTTGACTTATTTATTTTCAAGAAGTAGTGATCTAGGCAGCAGATCAAAGCGATGATTTAAATACACTTAGTTCAATTAATAATTTTCTTAAAACAGACAAATTGAGTTTAAGTGTCAAATGTCATAATGACAGTAAAAAGTAGTTTACAGTGAACTTTTTAAAATGACATAAAAATACTGTCCGTTTTAATTCTGGAACTGTACAGTTGGAGATAAAATACATTGGTCGTCAATGTCACTTGAGTGACATTAAATTGTAAAGCATGCTTTAGGACTGTTAACCTTATTTTTAGCTACTGTCAATCATAGTTGAGAAGTTGTATGTACATACAGATTTGTCAACAAGAAAGTACCACCTAAGATTTGAACTTTTAGGAAAATTACGTTTTTCATGTTGTTTGTAACTAGAATTTTCAGAAGTAATTTTAAATGCTTAGGGTTGGTTACCCCTTGTAGTTGACGGTTGACGTTTTCTGTCAACCTGCTGTCAACTATCAATTGAATGATCCATACAAGCTGACAGGTGACTTAACCTAAATTTTGACACTGGTTACGATATCTTCTTTTTGTCACCAATAACCAACCTAACCAAATTTATGGCCACCTATTCACGAATATCCCGAAATCCTAGGGAGTAATTTCTTATTTTGATACGACAATATTTTTAATAGGAAAATATAATAGCTGTCATTAATTTGAAATTGTCATTCATTTTAACGTTAAAGCTTGAATTACATTAAAGTGTCAGAAAAGTGACGACCAAAGTATTTTGTCTCCAACTGTACTTGGAAATTTTATTTTTTACTTTCTTTCCGCATAATGTGTTATTGGTTTTCGAAGTTTAGATTTTAAATTTCTTAATGCGTTCTTATAGTATCTTTTTTGTGGTACATAATAAAAATCAAATTTTAATTGAATTCATTAAATTCTACTAAGCGAAAATGACTTATGTATTTCAGAAATCATCAGCACATAAATGTGTTTTTCCAAAGAACTGTAAATACTAAACAATTTAACACGTAATGAAGTATCTGGAACGAAATTTATCACAATTTCAATGTCAATTTGCAAACGAATTTAATAATACACCGGAAGAGTGTTTATTTAATTCTAGTAACTAACAATATAACATGCGATTTTTGTGATTATGTAAGCCTTCACGGTCATGGTGGTTTATTTGCGCATTTATTCGAACTATAAAAACAAAATACCTATTCTTCCTCAGGATTTATCCAACAGAACAAATCCAGAAAGATGAGTTTGAAAATAGCCGTTTCTGTTTGCTTGGCTATTATTGCCTTGGATTCAGTTTTAGGGGTAAGGTTTTTGACATTTTTAAATAAAAATTTTTGCAAAAGAAATTTTTTTAGGCTCCTCATAGCTCTCACAAAGAACAAGATCTCAGGAAAAGTTTTGTTGAGTTCTTGCAACAAGATAAAGAGTTGTCTTCGTTGTTAGAAAAAGCGAATCTCGGAAGTTATCCTTCGTTGTCTCGAGCTGTAAGACAAGCCGAGGAAGACGATGTTGAAACTGACCAAGACGTTGATACTCCTAAACAAGAAGGATTTTTTGACAGAGCGGCCAAATTTGTAATGGAAGTTTTGCAGAGGTTTCTCAAATGGGTTAATTCAGACAATTAAAGTGGGCATCAGAGAAGCTGTTAAAACTTATATTTTGAATGCATTGTTTGGCTAAGTAATTATGTATAAAACCACTTCTAAAATAAATTTTTTCCTAAAAAAATATAAAACCTTTTTGTAAAATTTAACAGTCATATCCACATTTATCCCGATGTTATAACTTGAAACATTTCATTATTTTTTATTCTACAAAAGATGTTCAATATGCTCCCCGCTAGATTTACTTTCTGGCAATAATGAATCGTTTAATAAAATTATTGTAAGCAAATGGTTCTAAAAACCACAATACTGATTGTAAATTCCTCTGTATATTATCTTGAAAAGGTGCATCAATTCATTATTATTGCTATTTGTTGGTTACATCATTGTTATGACACTCATGACCAACAATGAATCATTTGAAGAAGTAAAAATGACAGAAATTATACTCAACATCATAAAATAACAACTTAAAAACTGAACAATTACAGAATGATGAATCAAACCCATAAAACAATTAACAAAAACTATCAAGTTTTGTAACTAGAGTCGGTAATAATAAAGTTTTTAAGTAACTCGTCGCTACGCTCGTTCTAAATGTCAGAAAATTTTATATTATCTCCATTCTAGAGACGTTTATAGAAAAAATTATAATCACCTTTTCATCAAATCATTATTGCAAATTTGTAGTATTTTCTGAAAGTAATTACTTAAATATTTCAAAATCCGAAAACAATGAGCATAAATTTTCAACAAAGTTCTAATCTATGTGATCAAATAAGTGAAATAGAAATTAGACGACAAAGAGAAATATGTAAATGGCAATGAAAATGACTTAATAATTTGATTCCAAATAAAAATTCAACAGGAAACGAAAAAATCAAGTTCATGAAAACTGCCAATTTAAAAATTATACCAACCTACACCCACTAACAAACAAAATTACAGATGATTAAAATAGAGGACATAATTAGAAACAAAACAAAATAATTGTTTTTCGTTTCACTCAGTATAGTGGGCACACATTGAAAAGAAGCAACAATAATCAATAAAATGCAAATATTTATCATTTTTCTTGCATTTTATTCGGTGGTAAGTAATCATTTTTAGATAAATATTTCAGCTGACAGTATATTTTTGCAATAGTTAGGTGACGACGAGTGCAGAAGACCAATAGAGTTAAAAACCAAAGAGGAGTACTGTTGGCACGAAGAGGTTGAAGTGGTTGACAGAATAGTTCAAACATCAAAAAACGTACTAAATTTTGCAAAAAAGAAATTAGGAATAACTGTAGATCAGGATAATAATGAGAAACAAAAAGTAATTACCTAATATTATAGCAAATATTGAAAAAAAAATCTTGTTTTTTACAGTGTGAATACTACTTGTGCATTTTACGGCAGTTGCATATGGTAAGATTATTCGCTTTAACATATTTTTCACCTATTCATTGTTATAACATTTTTGCTGGTTTGTGACTTCTCGTAAATAATTCCTTTAACCTTTTAGGCTACTTTTTCATAGCCTTTACAAATGTCAGTTCTGTATAATAAGAACGTTTATTAGCTTACATGCATCATTTCTAGTTAAGCGCCAATGATTATCCTGCCTGTGAAGAAATAAGACAATGGGCGAAAAATAATGTAATTTACAATCAAGCTATTGATTTCATACAACGATTAGAAATATGTTATGAAGATCTTAATAACAAAACACGTAAGTCATACTTTTTTTATCTAATTTTTAAAGTGAAACTTTTTTCAAGTAAGTGAAGTCTACTTCTATGCGGATCAAGTAGACAAAGACGAATCTTTGGAGAATTCTGAGAGCACAACCGAAAACCCTGCAAAAGATTCAGATCCAAATAAAGCACAAAGTGTTTGCGAAATTTCATCAGAATTTATAAAATGTCTATCACGACAAAAACAGGTATTTTCTTATAATTACAACTTCTTGTACTTCAATTTATTTGGTTTTAGTGTCCAGTCTTCGAGTTTCCTTGAATTATTAAAAAGATATAAATGAAATAAACATAAAATATTGTCAAATTTATTCAAAAATTCTTAAAAATATAATATATGGAAAGGATGTAATTCCATAATACCTTAGTAAGCACTTTGATGTTTATTGTGTTTCACATATAAAAAAAATCCTCGTTTAGTATAATATACATGTCACACAATGAAGTGCTGTTGGTGGTGTCCACGGTTATTACTGCAAAAAGAAAAAAATGGAATTAGAACCTAAAGATCAAGTTACGCTTTAGAATCTACTTGAAATGAATTTTTGCAAGAAACATTTACTACAGTTGGAGACAAAATACTTTGGTCATCATTTTTCTGACACTTTAATGTAATTCAAGCTTTAACGTTAAAATGAATGACAATTTCAAATTAATGACAGCTATTATATTTTCCTATCAAAAATACATACAACTTGTCAACTATGATTGACATTAGCTAAAAATAAGATTAACAGCCCTAAAGCATGCTTTACAATTTAAAGTCACTCAAGTAACATTTTTTGTCTCCAACTGTACACATTCAAGCAGATTTTAAAAATACGAAAAAAAAGCCAAATATTTCAAATAAAGCATTAATTCTAATAAAAATGTGTTAATAAAACACAGTAAACAAATATAAAAGCTTACTTAAAAAATCAGAATCACAAAGTCAAATCACCAGTACTGAACTTTTTCATCACAATAAATTTTGAGAAAAAATAGTGTATGTTTTTCAAAACAATATTGAACTTTGTTATCGACTCTTACATAAAATAAAACCACAAACTACAAGCAAAAACTTGCATGCCTCAAGTAAGCTTACAAATGTAATAAAAAAAAAAAACAAGTAGAAAACTTCAAAATCCAAAATATACCTAAAGTAGAAACAATACAGCAGAAATTTATTTCTTTCCACCCTGAAAATAATGAGTTATAAAATAAAAATATCACCAAAGATAGATCCCAAAATGTATCAAATTAAAATAAAAAGAATTGATACATTAGGAGTTCCATGCAAGACATCCAACCCCATATTCGTGAGTAAACAAATATCCCTACCTTCTTAGCAGCGGCACCCACTTTACTCTTCTTGGTACCACGAACTTTCTTCATTCTATTCTTACGTTCTTTGCGCTGTTTGCGAGTCTGCTGTTTCTTCTCGAAGAGACCGTGGCGAGCAAGCCTGTGTTTAGGCTCGAATTTTTTCGCGAAATCTAACGTATCGTAAATCAACGCAAAACCTGTAGATTTGCCACCGCCGAAGTTTGTACGGAAACCGAATACAAAAACTACATCAGGCGTAACCTACAATTAAAAAATAAATAAAATTAAGCGCCTTCTACAGTACAAAAGTACTTACTTTGTACATTTTGGCCAGTTTTTCCCTAATATCTGTTTTCTTAACAGAAGGCTGACCTGGATGTAGGACATCTACAACCATTTGTTTGCGACACAACAATCTGTTGGTCATAAATTTGCGTGTGCGAATTGTGGCTGTGCCTTCAGTCTGTAAACGAGAATTTTGGGTTTTGTTTGGGTTTAAGGTTACCACACAAACTGGAGCACTTTGGCCACCTTTCCACCATTTCGGAAAAACATAAAAACTCAATTTTATCACAAAATACGATGACTTAATTAAATAATGGTAAACAATTAACCATGCCGAAGACCAGTATAGGTTAGAAGAAAAAAACCCGTCAATACTACAAATAGTGGCACAATTTTCACACAATTTTAATTCTGATCACATTTTTCACAAAACTGCACTTAATTTTATTGAAATAATGGAAAGATGACCAAACTTTTTCCAGATTTATTTTCATACCATTTTGATGACAAAAATTACTGCACGAAAAGAGCGCCCTCTGCGAAAGTAGCGAGTAGGTCGAAATGATTGAATAGCAAAAAGAACTACTGTTCTTCATACCTACTTTGCTTCTCATTTTTAACAAACTATCTCACAACTGGGTAGAAATGAATCAAAATTGTGCGAGTACAATGTACATCTTTTATTCGTTTGTAAAACATAAAGGTGTATACAATATAAAAACATTTACATGTAAAAATACACCAACTGATTATTATAGTAATACAATATTATTAAAATGGCAATGTATACACAGCTGTAGTCGTTCCATTTCAATTAAGTAACATACTTGACTTCCTTAAGACACTTTTTTGAAAGACAATGGCACGTAAAAATTGAATTAAACAATTGTCTAATAAACTATGATATTTTTATATGCCTTAATTAAAATACCCCAATAAAATACATCTCAAACAAAATTTTTCTAAATACGTTGTCATTGGTGCTCGGCTAACGACTGGTTTAAAATATATATTCACAACTAAGTTTACAACACATAAATTGGCACTTACTACGCATAACATTTACTTAAAAAATAATTAAACAATTGCACTGCATACATTTATTGTGCATTTGGAATGATATCAACAGCCAAAATAACTATAACTTGGTAAAAAGTGAAAATGGGGTACTTAGTTTACAACAAAATAATAATTTCTTTTTTTAGACCTAACTTTACTTATGCAAAAATTTGAAAGACTTGTGCAAAAACATGCTAAAAACTTAATTAAGTAATTACGCATTTATTTACCCTTAGTAAATAATCCCTTAATTGTACTTTTACGTTTTTCTTGTTTTTGGAGCGTTTCATTTTCTTCCAATCTAAAAAATTATTTACTTTTTAAGTCATGTTTGGCAGTCTTCACGAACACATTGTTTATGGACTGTTTTAACACACATTGAGCAAAAAAAAACACTTCTGGAATTACAAAATGGGAGCAAGAACTTAATTATAAGGAATACATGCTATGGTAAAGTTGGTAATGTAGAACCCTACCCTTCTTTCACCCTTGTAAACTGAATCAACCTTGTCAGCATACTCATGACACAAGGGATTTGTTTTTGTTGATGCATCGTTGGTGAATCAGGACAGTTACTCTCAAAATCGAAAGCCACACGTTGTGAAACAAAAGTCAAAATTGTGCCTAAATCAACATCAAATCCTCTGGTTCTCAACTCCTCACAAAGGGCTTGAATAAACCACGATCCTCGAGTAGTGTTACGCCAGGAATAATACCCTAAAAATAAAATTAAATACAAAGAAAAAACAATTCGAAACAAACCTTTCACAGTTGAATAAACCACAAGAAAATCCGCTTGTGCTGGAATTCTGTACGAATCAATTTCAAGGTGACCATCAGTCTCAGTTCGTGATAAAATAACGCCACCGTCCAATTTATCACCTTGGCAAGCTTGCAAAAAGAAAATTTTTGGTTTACCTGAAATATGTGATTCAAGCGTTTGTAGAGAAAATATGTATGTTACCAGCTAGAGAAGGGCATCGATCGGCAGCAAAATAACTCCAAAGTATATCAGGTTTGTATTGTGTGTCTCTTGCGTATAGAATTCCAGTATCGCCATGAGTGAGAACAGAAATGCACAAGCAATCGGAGTCGGTATGATCATATCGGGCAGCTAAAAAAATATTTGATAAAAAATTAATTATAAATAGAAATTACAAGTGTGCGTATAATCCCTTGATAACGATTGATAAGAGAAAAAAATCTATATTCCAACTCACCCTGTTTAATTTGGCGTTCAATATCGTGATATCTCAAATCCTGGAACACAATGACCTCAAAGCCAAGTTTCCTCAAAACATCTTCCAAATTTTTACGGTCTTGATCGGTCCCAGTCCTTGGTTTCAAATTATGGATATCGAAAAATTCATGGTTAAATATTAAGGCCAAACCGCGGTTCTTATGATTCATATTATAATGTGTAGCATATTTCTCAGTTGGCATACTCGCCACAACATTGTTAGAAATCAATCTAAAAATAATAAAATATAATTAAGCAACTTTCTGAAGGTATCTTAAGTCATCATCTTACTTAGTACCAAACGCATCAGGTAAAGCATCACTTTGATCTTTGTCATGGCCATTTTCCACGTTATTTCTCTCCTCTTCTTCGTGGTTATTATCAGGAATATCTCTCCCCTTACGTTTATTCTCCTCCACTGGTTGTTCCATCATTGGAAAATTAAAGTTTTCACAATTTTCTTTGAAGATACTCAAACGCACACAACTAACGCGAAAACAATAAGAGAACAAAGAAAGGAAAATAGCCAAGTAGCGCTTATTCACTCAAGTAGCTCTACCGTTCCAAATTAGTAGATTCGATATAACAATTTGGTAACTTTGAGTCGATGTAGTTGGCATTGGCCATGGCCACGCTGTTTAATCGCTTTTTTGCGGGTTTTTCTACTATTGCTGAATTTCCGAAACAAATTAAATTTCTCCTCTACTAAACGAGTAAATGAGTATAAGTAGTTTTTAGGTTGCTATTTCTAAAAAAATATAAACCAAAATTTCTGTGCTTTTTTTTAATGTGTAAAATAAAAAAACAGTGTAAAAGACAAAAAGTAATTTATTTTAATATAAACGATATTTTTGTAAGTTTTGAAATTAATTCTGAAAATAAAAAAAATTGTAATTTTCTGAATTTATCATTAACGCATGCCCATAGGGTGCATTTTTGGTGTGTCACCAACTTCAAAAAATGCACCAATTATCAACCAGTAATCAAAGAGCGCGCTTTCAAAAAAGCGTTTTTATTGGTCGATTTAGTGACAATCTGGTAACTGTGAATCGGTGTGGTTGGTCACCCTGTTTTTTGCCCGTTGACGCTCCATTTCCAGTCATTTTCCCGCCTGTCTCCGAAGTAAGTCTCCTGTGCTAAACGAATAAGTGAGTATTAGTAGTTTTCTGGTTGCTATTTCTACAAAAATTATTAGAAAATGTCTGGACGTGGGAAAGGTGGTAAAGTCAAAGGCAAGGCGAAGTCCCGGTCAAACCGAGCGGGGCTACAATTTCCGGTGGGAAGAATCCATCGTTTACTCCGCAAGGGTAACTATGCGGAACGCGTTGGGGCCGGTGCCCCCGTCTATTTGGCAGCTGTAATGGAATACTTGGCTGCTGAGGTGTTGGAGTTAGCCGGGAACGCCGCTAGGGATAACAAGAAGACAAGAATTATTCCACGTCATCTGCAACTTGCTATAAGGAATGATGAAGAGTTAAACAAGTTACTATCGGGTGTGACTATTGCCCAAGGAGGTGTATTGCCAAATATTCAAGCTGTTCTTCTACCTAAGAAGACTGGAAATGCCCCAACTGGGGGTAAGGGAGGCAAATCTCAATCTCAAGATTATTAATTAAGTTTCGTTTGATTATACTATTATTTTTCATTCAGGACAGTTTCCTATTTTGTTAACCTTATTTGTATTGTAATGTTCTAAGAAAAATCTGTCAATACATTTTGTTCAAATTTGAATAAAGTTGGAAGGATCATTTGGTAAACTTTATTTAATAACTTCATTGTATTGTTTTTGGGTCCCAGGCGTACCTTTCTTGCGTTTTCATGTTACTCAACTTATTCATATCTTCCTCAGGGATTGCAAAATTAAGATCAATATTAGTCTCGATGTGTTCCTTGGACCTAGCTTTTGGAATGATGCCAATATCCTGTTGTAGAGCCCAACGCAACAAAACCTTTCAAACAAACCGGTTTAAAACCCCACAAAAACAACTTTATTCAATTACTTGTGCTGGACTTTTCTTCAGTTTTGTTGCAATTTCCACTACGAGGGGATCAGAGATCAATTTGGGGTTATTGGTGCCCCCTAGTGACGAGTACGCTTGGAGCAAAATCCTTTCCTTGCGACAAAACTCCTTCAAGGCACTCTCGTGACAATGTGGGTGCCACTCGACTTGATTAACTGCTGGTTTAACAGAGGGGTTAGTGGCCAAGAGTTCAGTCAAATGGCGTACTGTGTAGTTTGAGACACCAATGTCTCGCACTAGACCTTGTTGAACGCCTTGACTTAGTGAAGTCCAACTTGCAGCCCTGAGTTTGGGGTTGTTAGGGTGGCTGCCGGGAATGCCATGTGTGCCAGGCCAGTGGATCAAATAAAGGTCAAGGTATGTGCAATCAAGGTTTTTGATCGAGGTTTCAAGGGCTTTTAGGGCTTTGTCTCCTTGGTCACTGGGTGCTGCAACATTTGCTATTATTTCAAAATCAGAAACAATGTCACCTACAGAGTTTTGACGTTATGAAAATATCTTCTCTCTTTAGCTTGTATTTGGGCAAGAGTTCTTTTAAGGCTATTCCAATGTCTTGTTCATTGCCATACACAGCTGCTGTGTCTGAAGTTGAAAAAATGTAACGATTTAATTAATTTTGAGTTAAATACATGCCTATTTGTCTATATCCAGCAGCAAGGGCATAATTTAAAACGTCTCTTATTAAATTACGTCCCCGGATTTGGAAAGTGCCAACTAAAAAGCACAATTAATTAAATTAAATGAACGTTATTTATGCTAAAATACTTTACATCCAATTAAAGGCATATAATTTCCGCTGGGAAGTTGAACTTTCAATGATTTACAATCCATCTTGTGTTTTGTGCTATAAAAATAATTATAAAACGATCGATGTTTCAAACTAATATGTTAATTAAGTAATTAGGGAAATGATGGTGCCGGAAAACACTAAAGGAAAGGAAGTAAAACAATTAATTTACTGATTTTTTTACATATTCAAGTAGATAGGCAACCGTTAATACACATACGTTTATAGATGAGTCTAAACCAGAATTTCTCTAACTACAATTTTTCGTAGGATAAAATAAAATACAGTGTGGTAAAAACATTTTTATTTTTTATTAACATTCGGAATCACAATTTAACACGAAATTGTAACAAATTCTCATCTTTTGTAGTCCAAACTTTGAACGACTTTTTAAGAATAATCCAAGTTTTGTAATAATCATTTGCACATAATTTAGCCTCTTGGTACGTTAAAACGGTTGAATCAATATTTTTTAATTTGATTTTAAACTGGTTAAGTATTTTTACAAAGGATTCATACAATTTTAACTTACAAATTCTTAGAGCGCCGACTGTTTTGAGTTGTTTCTTTGTCACTCCTTGTCTTCTGCCGTCTATAGCAACCTCACATTGCCTTAAAAAAGAAGTTAATTATGTAAAATAAAAAATAAAATATATTTACGTGGATCCTTTATACCAGATAATACTGGAAGGACAAGGGTTTTTGTTATCAGATTTTTCATACAAAAATTTTAAAGTGGCCTGTCCTAAAGTTACATCGTTTCTGTGATAAGGCTCTTGCAAAACAGGGTTGCCTAACCGGTCAAATAGCGCTCTTTTCATTGCCTCATCATTAAAAGGAGTGCTCCCAGCAATAGTAAAACTACTCAAGTAAATAGGTTTCTTTAAGAGAAGGCTTAATAAGGCCCCCTGTAGCCCCAAGTGGCACCACTTTGCCAGTTTATCACTACAAGAAACAGACAGTGTTGGAGTGCCTCTCCCTGGTTTAGTACGAACAACTCCCGTCACGTGATAATCAAATCCTTGTAATTTCAGGTCTTGTTTCTCATCTGTATTTAAGCATTTTGCCCCAGTTCTAAAAATGTCGTTTGTTAGTTTAATTCTCTTTGTTTCTACACAATCACATGTTGCAGCGGAAACTTCAATTAAATCACCGAAATCTTCCAAGTTTTGTTTTGCAAAAATTGTCGCATCTCCACATGGAACTTGTGTTGAGAAAAAATGGAATTTTACATTGGGTTTTACAGTAAATATTTGTTTTTCTGGGTCATACAAAAACGTATCATGTTGAGACAATATACTGTCATAAATAAATCGGAGAAAAGCCCGACGACATATAACTTCAGCATGGGAGTCATTTAGGATGTCCCCATCTTTAGACATCTTGTCATGTCCTATACATTTTGTTCCCGTACTTAATGCAATTACTTCCAATTTCTCCGAGTCTTCTAAAACAATGCAAGATAAGACTGTCCATTCATTTTCTTTGGGCTTTCCTGTCTTTGGTAATGACTCAAAACGCTCAATGCAAAGTTTCGCTATTTTGTTGTGAAAGTCGAGATTTGTGGACATGTTTCAATTAGTTTTTGCCTCTTCTTTAATTAGAATACAGCTGCGACATGAAGAAAGTTGTTTTGTAAGTAAATAAAATAATAATAAAAACTTTTTGAAGTTTCTTGTGGTTAAGTATGGTGCATTTGACGTTTAAAAACCCTAAAACAGGCGCTAAATTTAAATTTACGAATTTTAACTGAGTTTCCTCAAGCCCAGTCGTTCAGTTTATTTAAACGCAAACTATCAAATCAAAATTTTGGCCCCGTTTTTGTATTTTCGTTTCAAAGTTTGATTTTGAACCGGAACTGATCCTTTTATTAAAAGTATCACATAAGTTGTAACGTTTTCAAATTAATGTGCATCGAAGTAGTCGCTGAAAGGGATCATTTTAAGGTGGCACCCATGCAAACAATCCTAATCTCAATCTGCTTTAAACATTATTTTTTTAAATAAATGTAAACCCCAGGTAGCAAAAAATAATTAAAATTAACAACACAATTAACATAGAGTAGCAAACATAACAATTTTTGTCATTATTGATGTGATTAAATTTGTTCTGAATGACATTTGTCTTTTTTTTTTCTACAGCCTACTTGATGCACATTAATATGAAAAAGAGTATAAGTTGTAATGTTTTTACAAAATGTTAATACAAATAAAAATTAACTACAAAAAAGACAATTTAGTTACATTTTTATTTTTTTTTTCAGTTTACAATGTTTTCCATTCTTTGAAAAATAAAAACTTAATGCTGTAAATCAGAAAACCATATAAAATATACATACAGAATCTTTAAATTAAGCCAACAAGTACTTTAGAAATGTGATTGGGAAATAAATATACACTAACAGAATTCAGATATTTAACAAAAAGCACTTGTTTAATTGTACATGTTAACAGTTATAAACAAATTTTACCTAGAGATGAAACCAACTGAAGTACTCTAAAATCAGATGGCAAGTACTTGATGGAAGATTGATCTTGTGAACATCAGATCTAAAATAAGACAATTATACCAACATTTCAACACCATAACAATAAACTTACACCATCGACGGGATCAGCTTCGTCTGCTGAACTAATATCATCACCAAATTCGATATCTTCATCGAAACCTTCCTCAACGAATGTAACAGTCTCGTTAATTCTTACAGATTCAGGGAACTCTCCGTATGTCTTCAAATTACGAGCTTCATCTGGTGTGTATTTCAAGATTACGTCCGCTTTGGCGTCTTGGTAGTCTCTTAAACCGATGAGGATGATATCGCCTTGATTGATCCACACCTAGACAACAGTTTAATACGACAAAAATGAGCAATTTTGCTTCAAAATCACCTTCTTCCTGAGCTTGCCTCGTATGTGACATAACCTTTTAACACCATCAAAGCACATAGCTTCCAGTCGTCCGTTTCCCAACATTTTTGTGACTTGTGCATATTCTTGTCCATCTTCCTTGAAGACCAATTCACGTTTTTCAGTTTCATTTTCGTTTTTACCCCTTCTACGGTTCTTGCCTCCCTTTCCTGAAAACAAACGGTAGTATTTTTGATAAAATTATTTATTGGAAAATTGCACCAATTGTCAAAATGGAACGTGGGTCGTGTCGATATGGTGTGAATTAAGTACGCAGTTTGAGATTCGGGGGAGTCTTACCTTTATTCTTCGGCATTGTTTGATTGACTACACAGCGAGTTTGAAAAGGGCCGAAATGTTAGCAAAATTGAAGAAATAATTAGTAATATTTCACAAGTAATTTGCTGTCTTGGTGCAGAGACAACGCAAAGGATTGTGGGTAGGCGCTGGATGCGCGCGCACGAATTCCTCCGGCACAGGAGACTCGATGCTCGAAAAGATTTTTATTCGTGTCAAAGATGGATTCTTATCCTGACGTTGTTGAACACGAATCCAGTGCGAAACGAATTAAACTCGACCTAAGAGAGTCGAATATAGGTGAATTGTGCAATGGGGGCGATTTTTCTAGTTTTTCTACTACAACTGGCGGCCCGATTGACATTCCTGAAGGTAAAATTTCTAAAATATGTTTGCTTGTTTAGGGAAAATTTTTCATCCAATATGGCGACGAGAACAAAGGCGATTTCGCAGACATTTTGTAGGCGTGGTGCATAGGATCGAAATGACTGATCAACTTGTATAATTTGCGCTTGAATTTTTTATTTTTTTTTTGATCAAAACGTTTGCTTCGCATCCCAGTCATTTTTTTCTTTGTTAAGTTATATTCGAAAAAATTGAGAAATAAAATTTTGATGTATTTTTTTAAATTTAGTCGTTTTATTTACCTTTTTTCAGTTAATTTTTGTATTTCTGGTATAAAAAGCGAAAATATTCCATTTCAGACAAAAACTATTAAAATAACACAAAAAAATTGTGGAATACTACTGACAGTTTACGACTGACTTGTTTGCAAAAGAGGTTAAGTTTATGTTTTTATGTCAAAACCGCGTGTTGCCGGAACATTTTAAAATTGTTGATTATATTATGAATGGAAAATCTAACGCATTATTACGTAAAAAAATAACTAAAAGAAAACCTGTTGTCTATATAACAATTGTTTTACTTAATTTATAAAAAAAAATTTCAAACAACAAATTACTTTATTTTTAAAAATCTAACTATAAAACTACAGAGTGGTTATAAATGATTTTCATCTAGCCAGCTTTGGAATTTTTTTGCATGTAAGTTTATTTCTGCCGCTCTACTTTTTTGAAAGCTCTAGCTAGTTCTGTCATTAGTGTCACTTATTAATTAATAATAAATTGTTAATTAAACTTTTATTGTTTCAACTAATTTCCAATAATAATTGATCGGAATGTATACTTTGGAAGAAAACAAGTTTATTTTCAAAGTGGACACTTATTAAACGGCGTTTTTTTTAATTTTGAGTTAAAACAAGTAGGTACAGTTGGAGACAAAATACTTTGGTCGTCACTTTTGTTACACTTTAATGTAATTCAAGCTTTAACGTTAAAATGAATGACAATTTCAAATTAATGACTGCTATTATATTTTCCTATCAAAAATACATACAACTTGTCAACTATGATTGACATTAGCTAAAAATAAGATTAACAGTCCTAAAGCATGCTTTACAATTTAATGTCACTCAAGTGACATTGACGACCAAAGTATTTTGTCTACAATTGTACCCCTATTTTCGTAAAGCGGCATGTTTTATTTTACATGGAAAATTCACAGCTGGCTAGATGAAAATCATTTATAACCACTTTGTATTACGAATTTTGCAGTTTTCTTGATGTCAATCGATCCCCCGGAATATTTTACATATGTTTTCGTCAAAATATATCAAGGAGATACAGAAAATTTGTTAACAATTTTCAAAATTCTAAAATTTTAAATGCGTTTTTCTACGAAACTATAAGACTTAGAGCAAAAAGCTAAAAACCATTAAAATCTACTTTGAATTATCTGTCTAATGGCGCAAACCGGAAGTCGCTCCGCGGTATGGTTCCGGGTACAGAGCCATTTTTAGTTTTTTTCAAAAAACTAAGTGGTCAAAACGGTTTGTACTGGCGTATTCTCCGGTTAATTTTACATATACCAGTTTTTCATAAGAATATTTTTTTTAATTTTTTGGTCAAAATCGAATGTTTCTAGCCTTGTTCTTAACTTTATTACTTAATATCAACAAACAAAACTATGCATCGTAGAATATTTTAACTTGTTGCATCATGTTCAGCGCGTAATTTTATGTCTAGAAAACCATATTTTATTTTACTTAAAATAAATTGACCATTTTTACGATTCAAAAATTCAAAAAATTGGTAATTTTTTAAACTTGACCCAATAACGTTTTATTCAGTTTTTTGAGTTTTTAGCTTCTTTAGAAATGCAAAAAACGAATCAATTTTAAAGTTGAATTTTTTTGTGGAGATTTTGGTCGGTTTTTGGCACCCGGAGCGGGCTTTTGACAGTAACTCCGGACTTATTAATGATAACCTCTTATGTTTGGTACCGTTGGAAAGAAAATTTAATTTTCTATGATATACAAAAAAGATCAGTGTTCTACGATAAATAGCTATCGAGAAAATTTCTGATAAAGTCAAGAATAAGTTCGTTACGAATTTTGAAGTTTTCTTGACACCAATAAAAAAGCCGAAATACAATTAATAATAATTTGTATTAATACAAAATACATTTTGTTCATTTTATTCTCAAGAGGCTCAACTCAAGTTGAAACCCTTGTTCTTGATGATTTAGATAAATACAGCGTTGACAGATTGGATCACATGCTAGATGAGCTATTTTCTTTACTTTTTTATCACTGCCTTAGTTTTTTCCAGAATATTTTTTTAGTTAAATGGATTATTTCACTGTAAAAAGTGTCTTATTACAGAAAATCTTCTCTAAAAATGTATTTTTTAAAGTGTGACTTAATTACTTTTTTATTTTGTTCATAATATTTTAATTAAGTACTAGAAAAAAATCGAAGGAAACATTTCAGTCGCTTGCCTTTTTTATCATTTTGTTTCGTTATATTAAAACAAATAATAAACGCCTTTTTTTGTAGGAATATCACCTGACTGTGATTCCGGTTACGAAGCATCTACGTTAGAATCAATTCCAACTTCTTCACACCAGACCTCACCTCAAACCGACTCCGGCGATGTTCAAGAGAGTTTATCCAGTCTTTCTGAAATATTTCTAACACCATCTCGAACAGATCAAGTGGACACATCTCAGGATAGTATCGAAGCCGACGATGACAATGTTTCAACAGTAAGCGAAATAAGCGGACTTTCAGACCTTTCAGGAGATTGGAAACCTATGGCTGGTAGCATGATTTGGGTACATTTTCAAACTATACACAAAACAATGTAATTTTCATTTTTTTCTCTCCTCAAACAGATTCAAAAACAAATGCAAAACGGTGTCAATCCTCGGACACTGTTGAGCGATTTGGGTGTGGATCTAGACCAAGTACCACAATATGTAGACGAAATAACTCTCTGGAAATTAATTATAAACATGTTAGCTGAACCTCCACGACGGAATAAATTGCGACATGTTAATACTTTAGACGATGTAGTTCGATTGGTTAAAGGTTTGTCATGAAAATAATGAGTGGACATTTTTTATGGAAGTTGTCGTAGGAGCACAAAATATAATAGTTTTAACCGGCGCTGGCGTTTCTGTTTCTTGTGGAATCCCCGATTTTCGGTCACGTGATGGTATCTACGTTCGATTAGCGATAGATTTTCCTGATCTTCCAGACCCACAAGCAATGTTTGATATCAGTTATTTCAGTCAAGACCCTCGGCCATTCTTTAAATTCGCACGTGATATATACCCAGGAAAATTCACGCCAAGTCCTTGTCACAGGTAATTTTATCAAATTTTTGAGTTTTTAAAGTAAGGTTTTTGTGTTTTAGATTTATAAAAATGTTGGAGAAGTATGGCAAACTCTTGCGTAATTACACTCAAAATATTGACACACTCGAAAAAGTTGCAAATATAGAAAAAGTGATTGAATGTCATGGCTCATTTGCTACCGCAACTTGCACAAAATGTGGACATAAAGTCACAGCTGATGCTATCAGAGAGATAGTTTTAGCGCAGAAAATTCCACTATGTGAGAAATGTCATCCGGGGAAGACTTCCGTTCCTTGTTCGGAAGAACAGAAAGGCAACAATGAAGAAATAGATTATAGACAACTTGTGTCTTCGGGAATTATGAAACCAGATATTGTGTTTTTCGGTGAGGGACTTCCAGATACATTCCACGAGGCAATGACTCAAGACAAGACACAATGCGATTTGCTGTTGGTAATTGGAAGTTCGTTAAAAGTACGTCCTGTTGCTCTTATTCCCAGTTCGTTGCCTCCAAACGTTCCACAAATTTTAATCAATCGAGAGCCTTTGCCACATTGCCATTTCGATGTGGAGTTATTGGGCGATTGTGATGTTATCATCAACCATTTATGCAATTTGTGAGTGATTTAAATTTTGATTTAGATTGTTTTTTTAATGTTAGAATGTTTAGGTTTGGAGGTGTTTGGAAGGAAGGTATTTTTGATGAGAATATGTTGGAAGAAGCGTCACATTTGCTTCCATTACAAGAGCCCAGTTTTGATGTGACTCCTACTTGTGTTAAAAGTCAAACCGAGCCAAATTGTACAGATGATAATTTAGAAGAGAAAGATAGATGCAGTACAAAATGTAGTTCCTCAACTGTAGAAAAAGACGAAGAATTAGCTTGTGAATGTAGTTGCAACAAACAAACGTCAATTATTAATAAGCAATCCTTGTTGGATTCGGATCTTGTCAATTCATTAGATTTAAAATCGGTTAAAGAACGTCATATGTCAGTTGATTCGGCGAGAGATTCGGGTATTGGTGACAATTCGAATTTCACCGATTTGGAAACGAAATACGACGATACATCGGATGAAAACACTGAATTGGGTGAATATACATCAAGCACCGATCCTCAATTTACTAACATATCGAATGATGAAGAGAATAATACAAATACATATTTGGAAAGTACAACAAACACTTCAGATCTGAAAGGTTTCTGGCAACCGAAAATAAAGAAAAGCCTTGCGGAACGATTGCCACCGAAATCGTTCTATCTTGTTAAACCGAGCCGATATATTTTTCCAGGAGCTGAGATTTATTACGATCCCGATGAAAAGTTTGGTTATTACGAGGGTTCATCGAGTTCTGGTAATTCAGACAGCGAGTCCGAACCAGTCAGTAATTAGTTCTAGTTTTTTACTTAATTTGTTTTGTTTTTGTTATTAAATTCGCATTTTGTTATCACCATATTATATGAAAGATGACCATAATTTATAAATGTGAGGCAAAAGACGCATTCATTTATAGTCAAATGAAGGCCCCCAGTATAGGACAATCGTATATATGCATATTATTCGAATATTTAAGAATGGATGCATTTTTTATTCGTGTGTCGGTTGCATTTTCTTGGCTTAATCATAAGCTTTTTATGTATTGTGTTTTATACTTGTTGATGACAGGAAATTGTGTTCACTTTCATAGTTTATGGTTTTATTTTGCGGTATTTTTATTTATATTGTTGAAATGTGTGCGTGTGTGAAGCTCAGGGTGCGTTGTTTAGTGTAACGTGAGTCGTGAAAATGAAAAGGAAATTATTGATCTCTAAAAATGTATTGTGTAAGAGCAATTTTTCTAGGTTTGGAAAGCTTTGTTAAGTCAACAGACTGATTATTTAGTTTTGTCATATGTGAATTCTGTGGATTTTCTGTAGAAAGACCAGTTACGAGTACCTAATTTTTGTTAGTGGTAAAAATACTAGTAATTAAGACAGTAAAGTTGATTACATTTAAGTAATCGCGCAATATTTAAACATATTCACTAAACTTAATTCATAACACTGTTACTATTGAAGATTGTAATATTTTTCAAACTTTCTTTCTAGAAAATAGTAAGAATTGCTCTGTATGTGTACATGAAAATTGTTATAAAAGTCTTATGATAATATAACTGTATATAGCAAAATGACTAAAGTTTCAATCAGAGCTTTATTCCAAATTTTGTTTTTAATATTATTTTGTGCATTGTTTTTTATTTTGTCAATTCTACACCAAATACGTTTCGTCAAAGAAGAGTTTATTTTTATATGTACTTTATTTATTGTATGAAATTTTGTTTAAGCATTTATTTTTATTTTTGCTCTGATTATATCAAATAAAAAATTGTGTTGTCACTATTTTGTGACAACGAATTTAGTTTTAACGGTTGTGCACAAATCATATTTTTTATATTTAAATGAAAACATGTTTGCATTAATTTTACTACTGTACTCCACAATGTACTGTAAAATGAAATGCTTTGCAATATTACATTATTGTGTATATTTTGTGGTAATATACAATAATGTAATATATTTTTTTTGTTAATGTAGTCACCTCTGTATTTTTATTTCAACAATGCCTACATGTGCAGTGTTATTATTAGTTGTGTAAGATAAATTAGGATTACTATTATTTTTGTACAAGTATTTATTCTCATTTGTGGCTACAAGTTAGTATAAAACTGTGTAAGTAAAATTGTTTCAAGTAATTATATGATATTAAATTATCCTTAAAGTTATATTTTGTAATATTCTATTTTCTAATTTATATTTGTGTGTATATATTAATGTTACTAAAGCAATAAAATTTGTTTCTTATTTGTAAATCGCATTTCTTGTTTTATCTTCTGTGTCCTCAAAATAGGTAATTTCTTTCGGGAATTTACCCACATTTGAAGAGATGCGCTTTTTTGTTTTCCAGTAACATTTAGCGGATAAATAATGGTAGCACTGCTTTTGACATTTAAACTATTAAACGTCATATCGTGTTGTCAACATGCTATATAAACGCAACATTGCTTAAAATTTGATCAGTATTTCACTGAATTTGGTGTGTTGTTAGTTGTTGTCTACTCAACTACGTGGCTTAAAAATGTGCGGTACGTTTCCCATTGTTGGCATATTTTATTTATTTATTTGGAACATAACCTTTGCAACCAACTTTCAGATTATCAAAAAATTACTTTTATTTAAGGAGTTTTGAATTAAAAATTTTTGATAATGTAACAATGTGTTATTTTTTAATATTAAGAATCTCGAAATTAATCTGTTACAAACAGAAAAATTGAAAAAAATTATTGACCATCTGTGAAAGGGTGTGAGGGGTGGTCTGTGATTAAACTGTTGGTTTGTACAACTTATATGCACCAGAATTATATAACAAACATGTTTTGATTATTAAAAAAACGTATTGGAGGTGGGCTTACTTAAGTGAAAGTCTCTGTACTAGTCTCTTGTTTATCAAAAATTTATAGGCAAATATCAATAGAAATGTTGACACATTAATTGAACGAAATATAGTTTCATTAAAACTCTCAAAAAAATTTCTTCCTCTTCCTTTTTTATTTTTGAAATGTGACCCCCAAAATCTAATTTGTGACATGCAGTAAAAGTAACCTTCATTACCGTTCAACATTTCCTTACTTTTCCAATGCAAACAAGATCGATTTTGAAAACACTCAACTTACAAGGTCATACTTTGCATTTTTTTTGGATTCAAAAATATTTAATCACTTTCTATTTGGAAACGGTAAATCAATAAATTTATTACAAAATTGAGGGAAAAGTATTTTTGCAAGGATCACACAAGTCTAGAGTTTACTTTCATTGTGTCAATGAAATTATAATCACGAGAAGTTGTCCTTGACATTCTGGAAATCTTTTTATAAAATTCTTAAAGTGGAAGGAATTGTACCTGAAAGTGTGAATCTCATTAAATATGAAATTGCAATTTCAAGGAAAAATTAAATCTTTTAAACGGAAATAAATAACGGGATTTTGTGTAATCCCTAATGCAACAATACTATTTAGAATTATTTAACCTTGCCTGTTTTGTTATTTCTTTATTTGCTCGTCCATTTTCTAAATCGCAATCGGTGATAATCTCAGAGATTAAGATAATATTAAATGAATTTTTAGAAGCAGAGTGATAAAAGATGTTTATGATAAGATAGATTACGATGCAGACTTTTAACAATGGATTTGTGTATTGTTCGTAACTACGAAAATATTTTATTTTCTGATAAAATTTTGTATTAAAGGTAATGTTTTTTCTCCGAAAAAATTCGAAAATAAAACAGCCAATTTCGTAATAGTATTCAAGCCCCAAGCATTATTTTTACTACTGGTTTCACTTTTTCTAAAGCTATTTTTAGTTAATTTGGGTGTGGTATTTTGTGTTTAATGAAGATTAATCAAGTTTTTTATAAGTAATTAAAATTACTAATTTATTATTGAAATTGAAATTTAATTTTAAAGTAAATTCGAAATATCAAAGTTTTTTTAAATATCAGAATAATTCGTGTTGTAGATATTTATAAGAATCTGGCCTTTTATTAGACATGTAAAAAGACAGTTCAATGACAACCGATTACAAGTGAAAATTATTGTCATAGTTCATATTGTCCGTGATCGTGATAATAAGTTGGTATTATAGTCTGTTGGGCGGTGATTTTGTGAAAGTAAATGTCGTGGTAAACTTATACGAGTACAAACATGTTAATTGCATATTATTTTACAATCATAGCAATTTATTTATAGAAGAACTGTAACACATACCATGTAGGAATGTAGTTACATTTTTTTTAATTAAACTTTTGTTGATGCATCTATGTATTTATAATTTTCCAATGAAATAAGCAAAAAATTAAAAGAATTGTAAACTCCCAAAAACATTTTTTTAATTGTAACTGGTGTTCCCAGTTTTGTTTTTTTTTTTAACGATATATGTAAATATTACGTATTTTCTTCAAAATTTAAAATTTATGGATTAAACTACCAACCTTTTAGAAGTCGTGTACATACGATATGTGAACTTTATGTGCATTATGCATAACATTTTGTTATGTGTTCTGACGTAATGTCTAATAATTTATTATAAAAGATTTGGCTTAGCAACTTTCACTAAGTTTAGGTTTAGACAATATTGTGTCAATTGATGCGTGGCGGTATTTAATTTTTACATAATTATATTTTTTGACTCATCACAAACTAGAAAAAAAAGTAGTAATAGAAACTCTTTTTCGAGTATTATCTACGCTTTTTTTTCTTTGAGTGTATAAACATTTCAATTTTTTTTCGAAGAATAAAGGCTAAAACCGCTAAAAACGATTCGAATCGGTATTTTTGAATCAAAAATTGAGCAAAACACAAATTTTAGTACACAATAAATAAATAAACTTAATTCACAGTGTTATGTAAATCTTCAAAAATGTCTAATTTTGAAAGTTTGGACATTTATTTATCTTTTAAATAATTATTTTTTAGGTTGAAAATAAAATCAAAGAAGATTTTTAAAATTATTTAGATTAAAAAAAAAATTCTTGTTGAAAAATCTAAGACGTGGTTCTGATTGGTTGATTTTAAAAGACGTAATTGATTGGCTAAGGATCGAACAATGACACTCAACTATAACGCATTAAATAATTTTGACTTTTTATTGGTGTAATAATCTAAAGTGCATGATTTATATTGGCTCTGGGGTTGGTTCCACCCATTTTGCAAAATTATATCCAATTAAAGTAAGATAACTCACACTAAACGCTGATTTGTTATAAAAATTCCATTCAAAATTCAATAATTATTCAGGATTTTTTAAATGGGTGGAGTTACTTATCGTTGCTAGGTTTTTGTCGGATTTTGGCCAATAAGAAATAAAAACCGGTTTGTTCTCATCTTAGTGGTAATTACGTGAATGGGAAATTATTATTGGTCCATGTAATGGGAATCAACAAATGTATCCAACCAATCAAATTCAAGATTTTGCAATAACCTCACATAAAAAACTGTTTTAATTCAATTTCAATTTGCTTGAAAAAAAACGCAAAAATAATGAATTTAAATTAATTTTTTCAATTAGCCACAAAAAAATTATTGTTGGGACTATTTCCTCAGTTTATTTTCTCAGTGGATTCCAAAAAAATACAGATTAAAGATTTTCTTGAAGAGTGTGAGCCACATTGCCATTGTCGCGAAATGTCAACAACTGTCAGAAGTGTCAAATTGAAATCCAACGCACTCTTAGTGATTTTTTTAAAACGTTAATTTAGGCACTTTTCTCTATGAAACTCTACTACTTTGTAGAATTATGATTGAATTTTTGTTTTTTACTTTCACGCAATCTTTTACTTTTCGCCGTTTTCTACTTTTAGTGCTTCCAAATTTTTCAACAATTTCCAGGAAAAAACAATTGCTATCGCGTGACAAAGATGGCTAAATTGACGTTTTTAACGGGTGTGACAGCGTTCAAGCTATCACGTTTTAGTAAGGTAATAATGTTATGTATGACTGTTTTTTTCTTTTAATTTGGACATTTTTAGACAGATTTCGCACAAAATTTTGTTTTTAATTTGGGAAAAAAGTTCTAAGTACTTAAAATGTACCAAGTGAAAGTGAAAATGTTATTTTATCGATAGCATCAATGTTTTGTAGTGCGCAAAATTTTATTTTACACATTTCTGCATTATTTTTGAAACGTAAAGTGATCAATCATAGTGAACGTGTTATCAATGACGTTTCCGTTGATAAAAATCATTCTTCCCTTTAATAAGATTTTTTTTCTTACTATTTGTCATTGCTATTTTTATCAGAAAATACCTTATTATTGCTTAATTTATTGTTTTAATTTTGAAATCTTTCAAAACCATCTATAGTAGATTTCATTCAAATTGGCATAATGGTTGGCTATGGAATTTCATATTTAAGTTTGTAGCTCTGCGTTTGTATTCGTTTTTTCACTGTTTTCGGTGCTTGTTCATTAATCCCACTATTTTTTCAAATTATAATTAAGAGTAGTTCTCTTCTGAATCCCAGATTTAGAGTACACGCAAAGGTATGTTTGAAAACAATCAATATTTTTTTTTGTTGTTCCTGTTTTGGGTTAATCAAATATACCAATAATAAAGCTAAATTATTTTCTCTAAAGCAATTAGAGTATGTTTTTGGTATTAAAACTTCACCTACAAAGGGATGAAACAGGGTGTTAAACTTTTTATAGAAAAAAAACTCTGAAAACCTCTGAAAAATAAAATTTCAACCTCTCTTTTTTAGTGACAAATTTAGTTAAAGCTTTTTTCACATTTAAAGCGGGGTTTACACAAGAATGCCAATTTCAATGAAATGGATCATACATTGTTTTATTTTTTTGCAGGAATATTTGCGTATTTAAATTTCCTGACTCCCAAAAAAAGGGAAGAGATCTTGAAGACTTTGGTGAATGGATTAAAGCGGTTGGAATACAGAGGATATGACTCTGCTGGTAAAAAAAACTCAACGAGTTTTCCCTTCTTTAATAACATTTTCAAGGTGTTGCAATTGATTCGGCCTGTTCCAAGGACATGGCCCTTATTAAGAAAACGGGAAAGGTTGCTTTATTGGAAGAAGAAATCAAGAATCGTAAGTATTTTGGATTTTGGTCATAGTCATAGTCCCAATACCGAAATTAAATAGGTTCTAAAGAACTTGATATGGATCGTGTCGAAGATATCCATTGTGGTATTGCTCACACCCGTTGGGCCACTCATGGTGTTCCCAGTGAAATAAACTCCCATCCTCATCGTTCTGACAATTCGCATAGTTTTGTCGTAGTCCACAATGGCATTATTACCAACTACAAAGAAGTTAAAGTCTTTCTTGAAAAAAAAGGATATAAATTCGAGAGCGATACAGATACTGAGATTATCGCTAAACTCATTCACCGTTTCTACGAACAACACCCGAATTATTCATTTAGGGAGCTTGTTGAAAATGTCGTTCAACAATTGGTAATAAATTTAGGGGATTTTATTAAATTTTGATTTGGTTTTTTTTAATAGGAAGGTGCTTTTGCTTTGTGTTTCAAATCGAAGCATTTTCCTGGAGAGTGTGTGGCTACTCGTCGTGGTTCGCCACTTTTGGTTGGTATTAAAACAAAAACTAGATTGGCCACTGATCATGTACCTATTCTGTATGGAAAAGGTAAGTGTTAACCAATTAAGAATTTAATTTGATTAATTGTACATAAACTCGGTCTTTTTTTATTTTGCATGCTGTAGAAAAAATGCCTGCATTTTTGAATTTCGATGGCATTTTAACTGTTGTAATGGACAATGCAAGCTTTGCCTTGAAATCCATTTTAATTAGGACGCTTTTTTATACATCCGCTTTATAACTTGCGAAATTTCCAAATTATTATCAAAGCTTTCGTCGGCTGTATTAAAATTATCATAAAAACAGTTCTAGATTATAAACTTATTGATTTTTTTGAAATATTGTAACTCCATCAACTTATGTAAGTAATAGGACATTAAATACCCCCATCCATACACAACTAACTTTCAAACTAACAATTTTACTAATCTGGTGGAGGTAGTTTTGTGTGGATTTTTAGTACAATTTTGTTTGTTTTTTTTTTAACAATTAATAATTTTGTTATTTGCCTGTTCTTTTGTTCCTTCCCTTGGACGTTGGTTTGACTATAGATGATGAACCCCAAACACCCACAGGTATATAAAATTCTCCTTTATTAACGTGCTTTATAGGTTTTACTCAGGACTCGTTTAGACGGTGTAAATATAATACGATTTTTATCAATCAATAAATACTGCGGTTGTAAATACAATGTTGTAAATATCCATTACAATTTACCGAGGGGCCGTTAACTTGAAAAAAATGTGTACAACTAATTCCAATTACCCAAAAATTCCACAAAATTTTTTATTGTTCTTAGATTAATTCCTATAATTCCCAATTAATTCCTGTAATTCCTGTAAATAGCTCAAATTGCTTTATTGTAGAAGAAAACTCTTATTAGAGCCAGTATTTGGTTGAAATACTTTGATTTAGGTTGATTCCCAACTTAAAATTGAGCCAAATCGATTCAAAATATCACAAATTGCTTTATTTCAGCCTAAAATTAAGATTGAAGCAATTATACTAATAAAATACATTAGTTTTGAATTAATTCTGTATTAAAATCGAGCAAAATTGAATTGGAAATAGCTCAAATTGCTTTGTTTCAGCCTAAAATTAGAATTGAAGCAATTATTTTAATAAAAAACATTAATTTTGATTTAATTCTGTAGTAAAATCGAGCAAAATTGTATTGAAAATAGCTCAAATTGCTTTATTTTAGAAGAAAACTCTTATTTAGGTCAGTGTTTGGTTGAAATACTTTGATTCAGGTTGATTCCCAACTTCAAATTGAGCCAAATCGATTGAAAATATCACAAATTGCTTTATATCAGCCTAAAATTAGGATTCAAAATGTGTACAACTAATTCCAATTACCCAAAAATTCCACAAAAAATTTTATTGTTCTTAGATTAATTCCTATAATTCCCAATTAATTTCTGTAATTCTAACTTAATTATCGTAGTTCCAAAATAATTTCTGCAATTCTAAATTATTTTCGATAGTTTTAAGAAATTCTACGTATTTTTCAAAAGAATAAATTATCTCCGATAATTCCAAAAAGAATTCCAGTAATTTGCAAATAATTTCGATCAGTAATTTCAGTAAAAATTTCACCGAAATTCAATTTTAATAATTTTATTAATCCATTGTTTTCAGATTATTTGCTAAAATTCCAAATTTATTCCTGTAATTCCAACTTAATTTTCGGAATTCTAAAATAATTCTTGTAATTTCCGATAGTTTTAGGAAGTTCAACGTAATTTTCAAAAGAAACTATCTTCGATAATTCTAAAAAAAATCAAGAAAAATTCCATTTTTTTACAAATAAATATAGCGATTCCAGATAATCCAAAAATAATTTTAATAATTCCAAAAACTTCCAAATAATTACGACTACATTCCAAAAATTTGTACAATTAATTCCAGAGTTAAAGGCCCCTCGTAATACTATTACAGGAGGTTCTGTAAGGTTTGAGTAATTTTTGTTATTTTCATTTATTCATCAAAAAAAGTAAAGGCTAAAACCGTTGTTATTACAGTCATAGCAAAAAATCAAACACTTTTGTATTTTAAGTATGCATTCGAACACGAAAACACGAAATACAAACAACGTTTTTTCTACAGATAAAGCAACAATAATAATTTTTTTATAATCGAAATATGATATATACAAGTTGCCTGATTGGTTCACATATTCACGATAATTAAAACATAAATTGAAGTTTCAATATTTTTATGATCAGTTCTATTTAACTATATTTCAAGCTCAGTAGTTTATTTCCAGGTATGTATTTAAAAAAAAAAGTTTTAATCATTAATTTACCATTGCGTTGTACAAAACACAATTTAAATATGTTTTATCAAAATTATGACCTTCTGTAATGGATATTGCCGAAATATTTATTTAAAACTTAAATTGGGAAAATATTGAAAGGACTAATTTTTTTAATTTGGGATTTGTAATTTATTTTGGTTATGCCCTTTTTAGAAAACAACTAGGCCTGAGTATTATATTTATTTATTTTTTTATGTTCTGTTTCTTTTCTTATTTGTTTGTTATTCGTTGAACAATACGATTTTTTTAGTTTGATTTGTCGTATTGTTTGACTTTTTTTGGTTTCCAAAATATAATTCAGTTGCAAAATTATATTTTGGATTTGTGTATTAAGTTTTTGTTGTTTTGTTTTCCGTTTTTAATTTTTGTTTTTCCTCTTGGGATCCATGCAGATGCTGAATCCAATCATTCAGGTAGTACCTTTGTTGTGTTGTTTATTTTCTAATTAAATGGCTTTTTGCTTTTTTCCTTGAATGTAAGTAAGAAATGTGGTTTTATTGGTGGCGGTTTTTATTGGTAAGTATTTTTATCCTTCGTATGTATTTTTTAAACGGTGGTGGTGCAACGCAGATTAAATTTTTTCAAAAGTTTTTATAACCAATTGATGCATGAAGTAGTATTTGACTCGTTGCTTGAATTTTTTTTGTTCAATAATTCATTGTAGAACACCGACCACACGGACGAGCTGATTACCCAGTTTTACCCAGATCTGACTCTACTTCCGAATTTGAACCTTTGGAAGACAAACAAGTTGAATATTTCTTTGCTTCGGACGCTTCAGCTATCATAGAACACACAAATCGAGTTATTTATTTCGAAGTAAGAGAACTCGATATATTTTTTAACTTGTTTATCATTATAATTTATAGGATGATGACGTGGCTGCTGTTAAAAACGGAGCATTAAGTATCCACCGATTGAAACGTCTAGGTGATGATCCACACTCTCGTGAAATTACAACTCTGAAAATGGAATTGCAACAAATCATGAAAGGGAATTACGATTATTTCATGCAAAAGGAAATTTTCGAACAACCAGAATCTGTTATTAATACAATGAGAGGACGTCTTAATTTTGAAACCAAAGTAATTAAAACTGCTTTAGAATGTTAGAAAATTACGGTTTTTTTTTCAGACTGTTACATTGGGAGGTATTAAAGATTACATTCCAGAAATCAAACGTTGTAGAAGATTGATGTTGATTGGTTGTGGTACAAGTTACCATAGTGCTATTGCCACACGTCAATTACTTGAAGAATTGACTGAATTACCAGTTATGGTGGAACTTGCTAGCGACTTTTTGGACAGGACGACACCCGTTTTTAGGGACGATGTGTGCTTTTTCATTTCGCAATCTGGTAAGTTTGAATTATTTGATTTTTGTATTTTTTTATCTGGATAAATCTGTGTAATCAGTCGTGCCTAGTCATAAATTTTAAGTATTTTTGGAACATTATGCATGCATTATTTTATCAGAATCTTATCTTTTGGTACTTTGATTTTTTACTCTAAGTTACATTTCCAAAAATTTCCAAAATTATCCGTTATTTAAACAACACTTTGCATTATCTGTTATTGTACGAGTAGATTGCATTTTTCCATGTAATTTTTATCCATTAATCTGTGATTTAAGATTATTTAAATTTTTTTTTAAACACGATATCGATTGTAATAATTTAAAGTGTGCATCTATGATGTGATTAATGATTAATTTTTTTTTCTAATATCTTATCTGTGATTCGATTTTGAATTTATTTGCTTGTTAACCACTTAACCGGTTAAGTCTAAATCATAATCATTAGGTGTCTAAAGGTCATATATTTTTTAACGAATCCGAGTGACAGATTTGCAGCATTCTATGAATATCCCTCTCTTGATAAAAATTTAAGTGCATTACAACTTTTGTTATCTTTTTATATCAGTTTATCACTATTTTTGTATACATCGTAACTGATAAATGGAGAAACATCTGATTGTAGTTTATGATTTTTTGAAGTGGATGTAAGTTAACAAGATAGAATAGTGACAGAAAAGTAACTAGGTTGCCAACATCCTCCGCCCAAAAAGTAGTACCTTTGAAATTTTGCGGGAAAGTACATTTTAGTAGGAACGTCTTGGAAAAAAAGTAGTAATGGAGCGGTTTTATTATTCCACACAGTAATAGCGCTGGGGCTTAAAAAGTTAATAATTTCAATGTTGTCTAAACTCCAAAAATTGCAATAAAAATGGTAACATCATTCATGGCATTTTCTATATTTTAAAACTTTTCCAATAAAAAAGTGTCAAAATTCTGTCAAAACACTATCCGCATCAGTGTTGCCATGTGAAATGTTTTGTAATCCCTAGATTTAGTTGTTAAAAATCTCTAGAAATCCCTAGGCATTGCCAAATCCATTTAAATTTTAGGTGTTTATTGGATTGCATAACAAAATAAGAATTTCAAAAAAAGTTTATTTAAACATTTTTGATATAACAAATGAAACATAACTTTCTCAATTAATGTAAAATATATTCTGAACAAACTAAATACTTACATATTATTAATTTAACAAAAGAAAACAGAAACTCATAAAATTACATACAGGGTGCGCCAGAACTCGCGCTCCAGAGAAAAATGCCATATAAGGTAAGATACCAGGAACATGGAATAAATGTTAAAAAAAATTTATCTATAAAAACTTCGAAGTTATGAGAGTTTAAAGTTTGCACTTTGACTCTATTTATTTCTGTTGGAAAAATAATTTTCCATATTTTTTTACTACAGTCTATTAGAAGAGGAAACAAAGAAGCTGTATCCTAAATTGTAACTCTGTTCAACGTTATTTGTGGCTTTTATTGGCAAAATTTTTGTACATTTACTAAATAATCACAAAAAACATATACAAGATCATCAGTATCATTAAATAGACATAAAAAAATGTCAAATGTCAAAACATAAATGTCAAAAATTTTTGACAGATAGAATTTTTTAAACATTTTTTTCATGTTCCTGGTATCTCGTCTTGCTTAAAATTTTTCTCTGGGGCGCGAGTTCTGACGCACTGTATAATAATATAAAAACTAAGAATATATGTAAGCTACAATTAATAGTATAAAACTACATAAAAAATATATTTCGTTGTTCATTTTTCCTAACAGAGTAGAATCGATTTCGAAATTAATTCCACTGAGAGTTTATTTCGAATTTTGGTTTTATTTAAATTAATTGTACAAAAAATTCTTTCTTACGTCTCATTTTCGTTTACTTCAAAGCTACAGCTTCTTCTGATGAAGAATATTCTTCGATGGTTTTGGTGCCATTTCAACACCTTGAAAGCAGTTTAAAAAGAAATAAATAAAAAGGAGTAAAAAGATACAAACATATTAATAAAAACAGTACAATTTATTTTCGAATTTTGAAAAAAGTTTAAAAATTAAAAATATAATAAAACTGCCACACATACCTTGCTAAATTTGTTATTAACACACTCCAATTTACATGAATGCACAAAACTTTTAACAATTTTTTTGTACATATTAGGTATTTTAAACCGTACTTGCAAAAAAAATATGGAAAATTGAGTGTAAAAATGCTCAAAGGTATATTTGTAACCTGGAGATATCACGTGGTTAGGGGATATATAAATTAATGAGGAATTCGGGAGTTACGTATTTTCTTGTTCAAAACTTTTTTGGATTTATTTGTGTTAAATAAACAGTAATTCCCTCCCGAAAAATTATAGTGATCTTCATAATTCCTATCAACTCGTGTCACGTTTTTTCAACTTTTTATTGATAGGTGCTGCTACAATTGTTTTCAGTTTTTTTTACATTTCAGTGTGAATTATTAAAAAAAATTAAACTTGAAACCTTGAACACAAAAACAAACAAAAAGCGTCTCCCAAAAGATTCTAAAAAAATCTCTACTGAACTTTTTCCCTTAGACAGTTTAAAAATCCCTAGATTCGCGTTACCAACCCAACATGTTTCAAATTACTGCAATTTTCTTATTACAGAGTTTTTCACTAAAAAAGTATACAAAAAGTAGCTTTCTAGAAGATAAATTTTGCAAATTGTCGATTTCAGGTGAAACCGCTGACACTCTAATGGCCCTCCGATACTGCAAACAAAGAGGCGCTCTTATAGTCGGTATCACAAACACTGTCGGTAGTTCAATATGCAGAGAATCCCACTGTGGTGTCCACATTAATGCCGGCCCTGAAATTGGTGTAGCATCAACCAAAGCTTACACAAGTCAGTTCATCTCACTTGTGATGTTTGCTTTGGTTATGAGTGAAGATAGACTATCGTTAGCTAAACGCCGACTAGAAATCATCGAAGCTCTCAAAAACTTACAGCAACAAATACGGGCTGTTTTGCAACTCGATGGAAAAGTCAAAGCTCTCGCTCAAGATCTCTACAATAAAAAATCTCTACTTATCATGGGTAGAGGGTTCAATTATGCCACATGTCTTGAAGGTGCCTTGGTATGTTATTTATTTTTAAATTATTGTTTTTTTACTTTTTTGTTTCACAGAAAGTGAAAGAATTGACCTACATGCACAGTGAAGGTATTATGGCAGGCGAGTTGAAACACGGCCCTCTAGCGTTAATCGATGAAGATATGCCGGTGATGATGATCATAATGCGTGATCCTGTCTATACCAAATGCATGAATGCCCTCCAACAAGTAAATACAATTTAATTATTATTAAATTGTACAGTATGTGCGAATAGGGAATCTGCGAAACTAAGAGGTTTAGCCAAAAACGAGTGGTTAAAACCGCAACCCGCTATCGTCTTTTGTTTTCGACTTACAGACAAAAGTTGACATTTTGGCGAAATCTAAAAAAAAATATATCTTCGTTATTATAGAAGATACGGATTTGAAATAAAGACATTATTAAGCACTTTTTTACGAGGAATTTAATAATGTAGTTAACAATTTTTTTCAGTTATTAGTTTAGCCGTAATAAGATAAACTTGTATTTTTTTAAATGGAAATCATAGGCAGGTCTTTGGCAATTTTGAAAAGCTTATTTTTTTCTGATCTAAAAAATATATATTTCTAACAAAATATTTTTTTATAACTATACTTAAAAAGTGAAATACATATTTTGTGTGATAATAGTTGGCCATGGAAAAACTATTTCACTGCAAATGTGTAAATAATAATCAATAAGAGTTTTGTGAACTGTAAAATAGGTGAAAAAATAGATAAAATTATAAAGATTTAAAAAATACGATACGGTAGAAGCATTGAACAAATATCCGAGCGCCTCAGAACAAAATTATTACATATTTTTAAAAAATCCAAAAATAGGAAAAACAAATGTGTCAACAGTCAACACAATTAGAAAAAACATTTTTTTGATGTTCTAATGGAGGTAGAATAACGTTTCACATAGACGGAATTTGGGTATTTGAATAGTCATATCGTCATTTTTGTGACATATAAAATATATTTTATTGAAAAATTAAAGCGGCTTTTTTTACAACACTCTATAGATCACTAGAAGTTACAATGGTAATGTTAGCTTGTTTAAAAACAAAGAAATCTTATTAGTCGCCAATAAGTTGATTTACAATTTATTTTGCATCTTTTTCATTACTTAGTACTTAGAAAACTCTTTCATTAGTGACAATGGTTGAATAATATAGTTCCTTTTAGTTGAAGATGCAACATTTTTTCATGGCCAACTGCGAACAAAAATCAAAGATAATTTTTTGCTAAAAATGTATTATAATAATTTGTTACAAATATATATTTTTTAGATAAGAAAAAAACAAGCTTTTTAAAAATGACATAGCCATCTATGATTCCCATTTAAAAAAATATAAGTTTATTTTATTACGGCTAAACAAACAAGTGAAAAAAATTGTTAACTACATTATTAAATTCTACGTAAAAAAGTGCCTCTATAATGTCTTTATTTCAAATCTGTGTCTTCTATAATAACGAAGATATGAATTTTTTTACATTTCGCCAAAATGTCAATTTTTGTCTATAAGTGGAAAACAAAAGACAATAGCGGGATGCGGTTTTAACCAATATTATTTTCTCAAAAAATGAGCCCCAGAATGTATTACTCGTTTTTGGCTAAACCTCTTAGTTTCGGAGATTCCCTATTCGGACATCCAAAATGCAGCACCCTGTACTAGTAAAAATAATTTAATTTTGTGTTTGACAGGTTACAGCCCGTCAAGGGAGGCCGATTGTCATTTGTGAGGAAAACGATGAAGAAACTAAAGGGTACGGTCATCGATGTTTGGAAATTCCTAGAACTGTTGATTGTCTTCAAGGCGTTTTGACTGTCATTCCGATGCAATTGCTCAGTTTTCATATTGCTGTTTTGAGAGGATGCAATGTTGACTGTCCCAGAAACTTAGCGAAGAGTGTTACTGTGGAATAATTGATTTTTTGGTTGTGATTTTTTTAAAGGCTGTTGGATGAATGTATTATTTACGTGTTGTGTAAAAACATGCATTTATTATGTTAGGTTGGTAGAAGGTTTAAATAATAGTGGACGGAAGTTATCACATATACGTGTGTAATGAATATTGCGCAATTATATTGGATAACTTTTATAAGTTTTAAAATACTTGTAAGATATATAGTCTTTTATGTCTGTTCTAGTGTAGGTTTAATGCCATTATCCATTACTAGATTTAATCATTTTATCATCTAATTCCAGTTGATCATTTCGATACATGTGCAATTTTAAATGTTTTGTTATATACGTATATTGTATAAAAAATTATAGTCTATTTTTTGTTCCTATTTTATTCAGAATATGAAAGACAATTATTATAATCAATACAATAAATCGTTTTTTTAATTCGATGCAGAATTAAATTCTCTTTCATTTAGTAAAATAAAAATTGGAGTATTTCATTTGGAAAAATTGAGTTATTGGTATTTGAATTATTACAAAAGTAACCTTAAAATTTTGGGGTTTATTTTTTTTTTCAAAATTTGAAAATGCCAGAAGAAATATTTAAGCTTTCTCTTTCAGACGCCAAAAAAAGGATTTAAAATTTAAAAAAATGGTAGAGTTATCGATTTTTAAAGTGGAAGGTGCAGATCCAAAAAATTTTGAAAATTTAGGTATAAACTTGGTGAAAACTGCCTTAAAATAACCCGATTAATCCAAAAACGCAGTAAAAGATATACCTTTCCATTTAAAATAAGAAAGTTGAGACCGACTTCCGGTATAACCGGAAGTGCCGCCATCTTGAAAATATTTTCATTTAGGAGGACTTAATGCATTATGGCTATGTACCAATTTTCAAATAAATACGATTATTCCAACTCCCAATACTTCTAATGTGGGGTGTAGACGGAACACTGTATTTGTTTTTTAACGAAATTCTATTGACAAATTTTAAATTATTTTGTAACTTTTTTTCTTAAAATGACATAGAAAAAAAAACAATTGGCTTCACCAGATAACAAAATTGCGAAAGGTTTTTTTTTTACAAATTTCAGGAAAAAACGTATTTTAACCTAAAAAATCTGGTTAAACGCTTTAAAAAGACAAAACTGTGATTTTCGGCTTGTTTTAATGAAATTTCGTGAAATAATTGTTCCAAACTGAAAAAAATTCCCACTAAAGATCTAATAATTTACTATATCACTATTTGAAATTGAAATTAATTAGTGTATAAAGTTTTTGTTGTAACCGCAGTCACAACGGTTGTTTTATTTCATTCCTACCACCTGATATTAAAATTTTGAACATGAAAATCACCAGATCTGGTGAAATTTCACTAGACTAGCAACACTGTTCGTAAATCCCTCGTGGACGTTGTATTATCCCCACTCTTTTGGTTAGGCGCTTATTTTAAATCAAGGTTGCCAAATTAAATTCTAATTTGACACTAAAACATTTACAGTCCCCCGATATTAAGAGTGAATCTAAATTCGAAAATTTTCAGTCAGTTTTAGCAAAAATTTGAATGTATTTTAAAAACATGCTAAAACACTAAAAATAACATTAGTTTTGGCCTATTTTGATAATTTTTCGGTTTGTTTTTAACGAAATTTTGCAAAATAATTTTGTTTCTGGCTAAAAACATACTAAAACGCTCAGAAATCAACAAAATAATGTACTTTTTGACCCATTTTAACGATTTTTTACCTTGTTAAGAAAAACAAAACTATCTATTTTTCAACTTGTTTTTGAGAAAATTTAGCATTTGAGTTTCTGCAAAATGCTCAAAAAAATACAAAAAAATAGTGTCATCATTTTTTACTGAATTAACTATATCAATAATTTACAAAAGTTAATTTTACTAACATTTGAGCGAATACTCGAGTATAAACCACAATTTTTGCAACTATCTATACAGGATGTTCCGTTTTTATTGTTACAAATTTAAACAGGTGATAGGATATTCAATTCTAAGACAAAAGCTTCCTATAAACATGTATCGAAAACTGCTTAGTAAGGGACCTACACCCCCTGAAAGGGGGCTAATATGTTTTTGCTAATATTTCAGAAACCATTTAAGATAAAATTACAAAATTTTTAGGGTAAAAAAATACCCTTTCCATTTTGGCTTTAGTTTCTTTAGTTATGCATTGACCAAAATGGTGGTCACTTTGAAAACTCCTTTAGATTTAGGCAAATTCATTTAATTAATGTTATTATTGTTACTGTAATGTAATGTTAATTAGTTGAGGTTGATTAAAAAATATGAATTTCTTGCTTTTATTATTTTGTAAATTCTGATTTATTTGAATGTTGTATTGGTGTATAACATAAATTTTAAATTAATTTTATTCAAAAACAATAAGTCGCATCGACACAAGAGAGACTTTTCTGTGATAGACTATCGAACTTAAGATTTTGTTGCTGAAAGTACCGAGAAACTAAAGCCAAAATAAATAGGGTATTTTTTTACCTTAAACTCCCCCAGTTTCGTACGCCCCTGATTAAAAATTTCGACATTTGATGTCTGAATTCGTTTAGGTGTATAAATATTATCATCTGTACCAAATTTTCTAATTTTATCTTAAATGGTTTCTGAAATATTTGCAAAAACATATTAGCCCCCTTCCAGGGGGTGTAGCTCCCTTACCAATACATGTTTATAGGAAACTTTTGTCTTAGAATTGAAAATCCTATCACCTGTTTAAATTTGTAACAATAAAAATGGAATTTTCGAGTTTTTGCGAAAGGACAAAAGTGGGTCTCGCGCTCATCGTAGATGTTGTGGCGCCGCCAAGAGAAAATTCGTCGAGACAAGGTTATTCCCCCGTCGTGAATGTCGGTCTGTTCCGAATTGACCGCCGCCACCACCACCACCACCACCGCCGTCGCCGCCGCCGCCGCGCCACAATATTGATCTTTTAGGTTATCTCCCCGAGGAGCGAGCACTTCCAGCAGCACATCTAGTGGGGATTAGACATCGTGTAGTGTCCGCGAAGTGTGCCGATCCGATCCCAAATCATCGGTGTCAGCGAGCGTGCAAAACGTTCTCTTTGAAAATTTCTCCTCCAAGTGCGGTGGTGTATTTTGGGTGGCGTATCGCATCGGTTGCGCAAAAATCCCATTTTCTCCTCCACACACAGCAGTAGGTTTTAGGCACTGCGGACTGCAGTGGTGAGCCATGGCGGTGCCAATTGCTTGCACGCGGTTTAGCGACAACTACGACCTCAAAGAGGAACTTGGAAAGTAAGTACGAGCATTTTGATGTCCGTATTGTGTGCATTTTGCGACAGAAAACGGCCAATTTTGATGCTGCGCGCTAATTCGGGAGTGACAATCTAATGGACGATTCCTGCGAAAAAATCGACCAAAAACCCCACACATATAATAAATACCGCAATTTTTAAACTAACACTATGACACTCCTCGCTGAAAAACACTATTTCAGCTTTTGACGGCCTTTTTCAGCGCTCTTTGAATATCTGCATTGCCTGTAAGAAAATCAATATAGTGAGGCTCTGCCCTGTACAGTATGACAGGTGGTTGTCTTTTAAACTACTAATTAAAGATTGACTGCACTTATTTTCATTCATTTTCGACACACACACCCACGCATCATCGATTCTTATCAATAAAAGCCGCGAGGTGCTATCAAAAATTTTATTACTCTATTGTGATGTTTAATTTCGTTGTAATTTCTAGTTGTGTGTTTATTTTTACTAATTTTGGCGAATTTTAATTGCGCGCCGCGCCGCCTGAAACACCGATTTTCAGTTCGCATCAAGGTTAAAGTGCATTGGGAAATGAACAACAATTACATAATCGTTTCATTCTTTACTAATTACCAACGCGTCTTTTGAAATTTTCATTTGACCGAATTGTAATCGAAGTTGGCTCTCTATTTTTATATACTTAATAGCTTATTTTTGTCGAGGTTTGTGTTAGTTTCTATTAATAAAAAATTCGTTGTTTGAGTTTAAAGTTTTTCGATAAATGTGACATACGTAGGTTTTTTGCCAGATGTAAATATCCATTTATTTTTCTACCTAGCTTACGAAACAAGCATTATTGTTGACTGGAAAAAATGTAAAAAAATTCTACCTGTCAAAACTTTTCACATTTATTTTTTGACATGTTTTTTCATAATTAGATATTTAGTAAAAGCGCAATATTTTTGCCAATAAAAGCCACAAATGACGTTAAACATAGTTGCATTGGACACAGCTTCCTTGTTTCTTCTTCTAATAGCCTGTAGCAAAAAAACGGGGAAAATTATTTTTCCAACAAGAATAAATAGAGTCAAACTGCATAACTTCTCATAACTTCGAAAATTTTCTAGATAGATTTTTAAATTTTTTTTCCATGTTCCTGATTTTTGGTATTTTTTTTTTGGGGCGTATTTGATGTCAAGTTCAAAAGTTTGGAAAAATTTGTCTTATTGCGGACGGATTTGAAGCTTTGATCTTAACCTTGTAAATTTTGCAATTAAATTTTTCCTCAAAGTGGTCTGTGACTTAAATTATGTTGGCAACATTGTGTGTTGTGTTGCCAACCTGATTACTAAGTCTCAGGTCAGGAGTAGCAGTACAACATACAGGCTGATTCAAGAGGGTGGTTTTTAAAAACATTTAGTTACTTTAAAAATTGCAAACAAAAAAATTGAAATTAATTAAATTAATTAATTAATCTTTCTTAGGTTGACTTTTCATTAATTAAGAAAGGTCATTTAGAAAAAATTATCGCAAAATTTCCAAAAATTTTGAGTATTTTTGCTTTTACGAAAATAACAACTGAACAAAAATCTGCCCTGTTTTGGAGAATAATTTTGATAGACGTGACATTAAATCACAGAAAAAAATTAAGATAGTGACCTGATGTACAGGGTGTGGATGTCCGAATAGGGAATCTCCGAAACTTTAGGCCAAAAACGAGTAATACATTCTGGGGCTCATTTTTTGAGAAAATAATATTGGTTAAAACCGCATCCCGCTATCGTCTTTTCTTTTCGACTTATAGATAAAAATTGACATTTTGGCGAAATCTAAAAAAATTCATATCTTCGTTATTATAGAAGACACAGATTTGAAATAAAGACATTATACAGGCACTTTTTGACGTAGAATTTAATAATGTAGTTAACAATTGTCGATGGCTATGTCATTTTTAAAAAGCTTGTTTTTTTCTTATCTAAAAAATATATATTTGTAACAAATTATTATAATATATTTTTAGCAAAAAATTATCTTTGATTTTTGTTCGCAGTTGGCCATGAAAAAATGTTGCATCTTCAACTAAAAGGATTTAAACTATATTATATTCAACCAGTGTCACTAATGAAAGAGTTTTCTAAGTACTAGGTAATGAAAAAAATGCAAAATAAATCGTTAATCAACTTATTGGCGACTAATAACATTTCTTTGRTTTTAAACAAGTTACCATTACCATTGTAACTTCTAGTGATACATAGAGTGTTGTAAAAAAAAGCCGCTTTAATTGCTCAATGAAATATATTTTATATGACACAAAAATGACGATATGGCTATTCAAATACCCAAATTCCGTCTATGTAGAAATATATCCTACTTCCTTTAGATCATCAAAAAATTTTTTTTTCTAATTGTGTTGACTGTTGACACATTTGTTTTTCCTATTTTTGGATTTTTTAAAAATATGTAATAATTTTGTTCTGAGGCGCTCGGATATTTGTTCAATGCTTCTACCGTATCGTATTTTTTAAATCTTTATAATTTTATCTATTTTTTCACCTATTTTACAGTTCACAAAACTCTTATTGATTATTATTTACACATTTGCAGTGAAATAGTTTTTCCATGGCCAACTATTATCACACAAAATATGTATTTCACTTTTTAAGTATAATTATAAAAACATATTCTGTTACAAATATATATTTTTTAGATAAGAAAAAAATAAGCTTTTCAAAATTGCCATAGCCGCCTATGATTTCCATTAAAAAAAATACAAGTTTATCTTATTCCGGCTAAACCAATAACTGAAAAAAATTGTTAACTATATAATTAAATTCCTCGTAAAAAAGTGCCTGTATAATGTCTTTATTTCAAATCCGTATCTTCTATAATAACGAAGATATAATTTTTTTTAGATTTCGCCAAAATGTCAACTTTTGTCTGTAAGTCGAAAACAAAAGACGATAGCGGGATGCGGTTTTAATCAATATTATTTTCTCAAAAAATGAGCCCCAGAATGTATCACTCATTTTTGGCTAAACATATTAGTTTCGGAGATTCCCTATTCGGACATCCAAAATGCAGCACCCTGTACACAGTCGCTTGCAAAAATAACCTCTAACAGCTCTTACTACATTTTTTGTAGGTAACTGTACAAACCTCCAAACTATATTGATCAACTCTACATTTTTTAGTAAGTTTTTACAATACAAAGCGACTGACGTGCCTACTAGAAAGAATAAAAAGTAATTTTGTGTAAAGCAAATAGGCCAAAGTTGTAATATATTGGAAACACTAATTTTTAGGATTTTTTTTTGTTGAGGATTGGGATTTTGTTACTAAAAAATCGATTTTTAATAGTCCATATCAGCAAAATGTCAATATTATTTGATGATTAAAGATAAGTTTCGTGTCAGTTTTAATTAAGTTGTTGAACGATTTGATTGACTAAGTGTAAATTGTTTGATTTATTTTATTTAAAACAATAATAAAGTGAAAATAATATAAGAGTAATGATTATTATTGTCTGCAGTTTTACTTTTTCGCAATTAATAATTACTTATTATTAAATTTCCAATTTGAATGTTCATTGACCATAGCAAAGTTCGAATTAATTTTTGCGGTTTTAAATTACATTCAGCTAGGAAAAACCTATTATGTTCTGATAAATTTACATTAAACATTACTTATTCAAATTAACCTTCAATAATAGAAATTTTTTTCTATTTTATTTTTTATTTAAGATAATTTGAGTCACTTTTTATTGTTTGACATGTTTCATACAATTCTTGGAAGACACTTTATAAAGCGTTGCGAGGAATGTAATAAGTGAGTATACCTGAAAATATTTGTGAAATGTGTAACAAAGCATAAGACCAGCAGTGTTTTAAATTGCATTCTCTATTTACCCACAAGAGTTAGATATACTTTTTTAATAACTTTTTTCTAGTAAACAAAAATTTAACTTTTATTAAAACGCAGATTTATTTGAATTAACAGATTGTTATTTAAGAACAAGAATTTAAACAATTAGTAGGTAATTAATTTCCCACTTTCGTTCATTTATCCTGTGAATTACTTTTTCCTTTTGTTTCTTCTTCGTTGAAACAGGACAGTGAGGTTTCATTTTCTATTACCCTTGCTATTATTTTTTCCGCGTTGAAATTCTTTTATCCCTCTTAACTTTCAACCAACTTTTGCAATTCGGGGATTCGTTCTTGTCATCTAACACGTGTGAATGTCAGTTTTGGTCTCACATGCTACCATAATGCCATAAAAGTGGAAATAAATCAGCAAATAAATTTACACACACTGGACATTATTTATGGTTATTATTACCTGATTGTGTTTTAAAAGCACAAGAAGTACCAAAAATAAGTAATTTTACCGCATCTCAGACCCTTTTCATAAAGTGTTTGCAGAAATTTAAATTTGATTAACTGCTATTAATAGGTGTAATCTAAGCCGGGATTACAAATGGAAATTTGCGTGTAATACCTTTGTATTTTCACTTTCATAAAGTTGTCAAAAATGTTTCTCTTAAATCTGCAACTTTGAGTTTAATCACGCAGTAATGAAAATTAAACTTCAAAGCTTTTCGTCCGTACTCATGTTTCGCATTGCATTAAAACTTTTCCCAAATTATAAAAGTTTCCCCAGATATTTTCCTTAAAACGCCTGCAAAATTAAACATTGCCTCCACAATAAAATAATATTTGAGTTGCAAGATTAAACAATAGAGAGACAAATCTAAATCTAGGTTAATCAAGGCTTTTTAACTGCAAATCCTTTGGGTGATTTTTACGGAAATCTCAATTAATTGGCTCTTGGTAGAAAAATTCATAAAACTGTAATAAATCACGAGCTAATTAACCTGAAAAGTACGGCTAATGTTAACAAACTCACATTTTTCCCTTTAATTAAAATATGTATCGATATTTGAAACTTTACGTTCCACATAAATTTTCAGCATTTTGGTCAGTGACCTCAAAAAATAAATGCATAAATTCTGGAAAAATGCCAACCAAAATTACAACC